TCGTGCGACTTTTGCCGACGGTGCACGCGCGCAAAAGTACTTGTCAATCGCAAAAGTGTTATTTACAAGATAAAGTACACAGGAAAGTGATTGTCGCTTTAGATGTCATTATAATTGGTTTTAGTAGTGCACCCATACAGTAGCCTAACCACATAGTTTTAACCCAACTACGTGAAAACGATCAGTTCTTTTGTTGACCCGTTCAAGACTGGCAGTTGTTGAAATATTTTAGCAAAGCGAAAACCGGGTATCGGCGCAAATGATAATCTATACGCAAACCCGAGCCCCTGAGACTTCAACAGTGCCTCCGGTATAGGTGTCCGTGTGTTCACCTCGATTAGAGAAGTCATTCCAGATATAGTCACGGCAGTCCGGAAAGTCGAAGTGCTTCCGTCGCATTCCAATTAATGCTCGGAGACTTTATTCTTGGCTGTAGGTATAGGTTAGGTTAGCTCGCACCTCACGCGTGAACCTAAGAACAAACGATTCCGTCAAAGCATTTTATGCTGCACAGGTTACGCCATCTCAGCTTATCGGATATCAGTGATACATTACAATAGACTTGAGTAGCTCTTGCTGTGTTGCAACTTACAAGCACAAGTAAAGAATTAAAGAAAAAAATATTATCTTCTTTTTTTATTAAAAACGAGCTTGCGAGAGCACGGTTATGGTCTCATCTCATATGTTGCGCTGTAGTACAGCATGGCGACACCACTGATTCAGATACTTTGGAGTTACTAGCGCATCGTAAAACCTCGTTGTCATCGGCGGCTTCCTGAACAAGGTTGCGGCATGACAGCAATATATTATATTGCGCCTACATTGCACTGTTTGCAACAGCAGACTGATATTTCATTATCGACAAGCAAACTCTACCTACAAAAATTAAATGTAATACGAAGAGAATGCCCATAGTTTTAGTTATCAGTAATTTGTAATGTGATATAATTAAATTTTAGTGATTTTTAAGAAACGAATCGGTAATGTAAAACAGTTAGTTTTGGAAAATGCTTTTGCCATCTCTCGCCTTGAAATCTCAAGAGGGCGACTGTACTAAAGTGATTAACCATTTCGAGAAGAGATATTGAGTTGAGATATATTAACGCAATATTGTAATTACACTCACAAAATTTGACGGGTGATCTTGTACTTTAAACTTTTGCTTACGGAAAGGTGGAGTTCTAGTCATCGGTGTGGCCACGTGCAATATGACGTCTAAACGCGGCACTGGTCACTAGTAGGATCTCAAAACGCAATATAAAAATGCAAGGAATCGGAAAAAAAAAAAAAAAGGGCTCTGGTTCGTATTATGGATTTTTGCAGATCTCAATATTTGGAGTTTCGGTCAAATTTCAGAACAAAAACAACGGTCTGACAGCCCCCAGCACTGTTTATTTCAACGTGTGTCCCATTTAGGCAACACCAGGTGGGTTGGGGTAAAAGCACCGGACATGTTAGCGTACGCACGCTGGCATGAGTTCCCGTCCCGTAAACACTTTTTGTAAGGCTCGCCACTTCCTCTTCAAGTACCCAGGGTCACAATACACTCTGTAGTACCGTATTTTCCGGACTATACAAGTTTAAAAGTTGAAAATTCACCCGATGCGGACTATCTACAGGTGCGAACAATACAATGATTTAATTTTTCGAGATCCTTCACTATGACAATCGTGAAGGATTTTATGAGTAACGGACTATACTAATGTTGATTTACGTACGATAAAGCTTCATCGTGAGCTAATACAGTAGGCGTTTGTCAAGGTCTGCTGAGTATGATACTTTTTACGTTCGGACTAGGTGCTAAGTGCGGGCTTTGCACTGGGTGCCGATTGTGTACCGGGTGCGGACTATCTAAGCAAGCACTTTTATTTTTGACGCAAAATATTTCCCTGCGGACTATGCACCGGGTCCGGGCTATAGTCCGGAAAATGCGGTAGTTCCTTCGAACTCTAGGGTTCTTGGACGATGGCTCTTGGCCTATGCCCATCCTCACATGGCCTTGGGTCACTTTACATGGACGGCAGAAGCAGTCAAATGCTCGGAGTAGCCAAGCATGCTTATCGCAAAACAAAACAAAAATTCAGAGACAAAACCGAGAGGCTAGGCTCTGAAATGCTGAAGAAAGGGGAGTTCTGAGGCCTGATTCTCAAAGCGAACTTATGACGAAAAAAATGCGTACGACAAATTTGAGAGAAAATCCGTATTCTCGAAACGAAATTGTCGTAACTTTTGCGCAGGTTACGACAAAATCCTACGACAGCTCCGAAGCTGTCTTACGCACTTTCTACGATCAAATTATCATGGCCGACAACGTCGCTCAGTTGCTCGGTCGCGACGACCCAACGGACATTTATTTTTCTACCTGCTCTTCTTGCGCGTCCCGACTTCAAGCAGCAAGAAAATATGAAGAAGTACTTGAAACCGACCACGACGAACATGAACGCTGGATCCACAGACACCCGGAAAAGGCAACAAAGGCGACGATCCCACCGACCAAGCGAGCTCGGCAGAATATATAGGCCTAGCAGGCACTCCGACCCGTTCCGGCGCAGCATTGCTCAGACGGTCCTTGGCCAAGACCGTCTGCCCACGACCGGCTGGCTTGCTGAATGGAATATGCCCGCGCGACCCTTGTGGACCCTCCCCGTATGAATAGTTTGATAGCTGAACTAAATTTCAGAGGTCAACCGATTCCCCTTATCATCTCGATCACCTTGTTTTTCGAGGCAGCGGTGACTAACGCTGTCGTCGAAAAGGGACTCCTCGATTCTATCTGCTTGTTTTCGGTGATATAGAGCTAAAATAAACGCCGTATGGATTACCTTCGCAACACGGTATGTACACTTTGTTATTAGTATGCCATTTTTAACTGTCGAGCTGTATCAGTTTGTGGGAGCTACGTGATGCCGGTCCAACCTTTCTTTGCCGAGTGTCACGTCAGTATCGAGTCGCAATCGTAGAACATCGGTCCCGAAGCGCTTACCGAAACGCAGTCTGAATCCAGCACTTCGATCAAACGCACGCGTCCGCTCCGAGTGTGAACAGGTATTTGCGTGACTCTTGCTGACACTCTCGTAGTTCAAACGTATCTTTTTTAACGTCGGCTCACTCCTGCATTTCCGAGGCCGCGAGAAACGCCGCGGCGGTTTGTTTCCTTCTACGTCGCTTTGCAAACGACTGGCACGAGGCTTTTACCAACGATGACAGTTGTGTTGACTTCGTAGCGATCGAGTTTGTAGCAGTCAACGAAGCGTGCCCTGCTGGAAATGAGGCGCACATTCACATTGAGGAAGTAGTCAGAATTAATGTGTGCCAATGTGCAGTGTAACACGAATGTGCAAAACCAAGAGTTTTCTCATTGGTGCACATAGGAAGACTGCAGGGAAGCCACAATCTTAGAAAAGGGGCAGTTTTCTGATTGAGGTGAAGCCAACCTTGGGGAAAGAACTCGGGCAAGTTTCTATGAGCACCAATGTGCTCCTATGAGCACATTGGCGCCGATAGCACCAATGTGGTTAAAAAGACATTTTCTCATTCGGGCCATGGGATACATTGCAGGAAAGACAAAATCCGGGGGAAGGGTTACTTCATAAAGCAGGTGAAGCCAACTTTAGGGAGATCTCAAGCAATCTCACCATTTTCTCATTGGTGCTTGTAGAAACACTACAGGGAAGCTGCAATCCGGGGCAACCAACTTCCAAAGCCAAGTTTGTAGACGATAGCTGGCAGAGTCTATGAAGACCATTAGCACCAATCTGCGTGATGCCTCGTTCGCTTATTACTGCCACTCTAAACACTACAGGGAAGCTGCAGCGTGAAGGCGTTGACAAGTGAAGTCAATCTCTAGAGTCGGCAAGCACTTATTAGGACTAATAGTTTGCTCATTAGTGTCCATACCTTGACGTATTATCACCGACTTGTTATATACTAAATACAAGCTCAATTACCATGCCAAGGCCGCACCAGAGGGTTCCCTCCCCCAGTCGCACAACTATCTATGCTCACTATTATGCCAACCTGAAAATAATTGGTATAATTGGCTTTCGTATGGCACAAGATTTTTTTTTTTATAGTGCCCCGAGTAGAACTGAAGTCCCAATCGTATGAACATTCAGATTTTCATGCAGGGAACAAACTTGCAGCAGCCTGTAAAGCAGTAGTAGGTACTGGTACACAAGAATATCACAACTGCTCTTTCAAATACAATGCTTTATTTTAACTGGAAGCTGCAACCTTTCACAGTACAAAAGTAAAGCATTTTGCATACAGTAACCCATTGTACGTGTTCTTGTTTAATACAGCCCTAGTCACCTTCATCTTTATGAAAACAGACTTCTCCCAAAGAGCAATTATCCCTACATTATTGCTTAATCATGGTGTCTACCAAACTATTACATGTCAAATTCGCAGACTTTTCTAGGGTTTTCTTTTACATGTGAAACTTCAGAACTAGCTACACTTGTAGTTCCGTGCGGCAGGAGGGACGCACATGCCAAGAAAGGCTGACGCCAAAACCATATGGCTGTTTCCCTCTAAACAAAATGCTACATAGATGGCTCTGTTAAGTCAGTGATCATTTTCTCAGATTTAGCTAAGTTTTTCATGATTTCCCTGACTTTTTCAGAAGCTCAAAAGTTCCTTTGCAATTATAGCTTTTTTAGGTTGGTAGACACCCTGCTAATGTCAGTAGGTATGCTTGATTTAGCTGCACCCACCTGCATGGTGCAGAAAGTGTACAGTGCAGGGCAATGTAATTACGGTATGCATTGTCCAGGATTAAAGGCATTTCACATAATGGAACAAGGACAGACACCACAAGTGGTTCTGTCCTCGTCCTTTTGTTACAATATTTCGATCCTGGAGACCAAACACAACAAGCCCCTAAAGAGTCCTCAAGATAGTCTGCACCAACAAGTAGGATACAGTGATGTACATACACTGAGAGTACCAGTGCAGGTGGTGTAGGCAAATCAAACATACCTACTAACATGACATGATGGTTACTCCTTTTCATAATAGTTGGGCAAAAGGCTGGCAAATAACCTGTTGCCTGACCGCATGACAACAAATTTGGACAAGACATTGTCTGCTGAGACAATCCTCACATTCTGCTTAGAATAATACTCATTTACATGGGTCACATGAAGCGTTCTTGACGAGACATACTCTTCAAGAAGTAGCACACAACGGTGAACACCATTTTCCTTGTATACACAGATTTTCAATATTTCTCCACCCAACCCGTTTTTCAATTGTACAAAGGAATTATTTCGACGCTTGCATTTACCATATTCTTTAGAGTGCAACAACTCACCTCCTGCAATCACCCTTTTATACACAGTACAGACACTGCCAGGTAAAACAACAGAGCTACCAAAAAAATTGTGGCTACTTCCATGTTTTAAGCCTTTGCTAATAAGGTGGCATTTCTCCACCTCAATTGTATGCACTAAGCGCTTTGACCCAAGCAAGCCCTCACAAAACTCTTGCACTGTTTGTTGCCTGATGTAGCATTTAACGAAGTAGTACACAGAGCGGTACAAAAGATAACTCTTGGCTATTTGCAGAGGTACTTTTCGTGTCCCTTTTGCTAATTTTAAAAGAAAGCCGTTTGCAGATTCATATGCAAAAGCAGAATGGGCCCATAACGGGCCCCACTCTTTTACGCTTTTCGGCAGATGAGTGAGAAGATGGACGTTATATGTCATTGACGTTTTCGTGTACAACTCTTGCATCCCACAAACAAACTCGGTCAACATAAGGTCGGCATTATTCACATCTGTATGCGTCACAGAGTCCTTGAGCAGAGCATACACACTCTGTGAAAGCAAAGCAAAATGTTTAAGATATTTTCTTGGAAGAATGCCATCCAGGCAAGGAAAAGCATAGTACAACAACCAGCATTTCCACTCCGACGCCTTCCAGAACCGTCGCTCAGAAATGGGCCTTGGCAGTCGAGAAACAGTTTTGGGGGGAAACATCCTTTCTAATCTCTTGTTAATTTTAGCTACAGTCGAGGGCTCTCCAATATAAAACTTTTCACCAACAGACGAGAACCATAGCTCTGCTAGTTGCCGTACCACCCCAAGAAGGACAGCATGCATGTAGTCTGGTACGAACCCAGATACTATCCCAAACTTTGGCATGTTTATCAATGCAGACGGGCCCTTGACACCAAAAATGGTTGTCTTCGTTACAAATGCTTGTTCCATTTCCTTTTCCATTGTCTCATTAGTCCTGTCGGGGTAGCATTCTGGGCCTACAGGGTACTTGACAACATTACCTACGTTCTCACCAGGGTGGTAACACCACCCACAAGAATAATAGCCATTGAACTGCATTAACTTTTGCATCGCAGGACGAGCAACGCTGTCTACGCAGCAACAGGTTGCAACGAATTTACTATTAATAAGGGTACCATCAACATGCTTCCATGTAACTCCTATTGTAGCCAGATGCTTTGCATCATCGACAAACGACTTCAGAAACATATCCATGTTTGGTTCCCCCTTACCATACCACAAGCCTGCCAGCAGCAAATTCTTTTCCCTGGACACTGGTGGTAGTTCATTTAGCATGATATGAATAGGCCACACAGAGGCACGGGAAGATTTGAACACTGGAGCTCCATCAGTGTTAAAAGAAAATGAAAAATTGTTACAGAAAGACAAGAGGCCACCAGGTTTGGAAAGTTCCTGATACAGAGTGCCATCAAAGATGTCTTCAAGACAGGATATATTTTTGTGTTTCTTTTCATTCCTGTATTGAAGTTCCTGGACCAACCCTGGTTGATTTTCCAACATGAACTTTAGTTGTGGTGCAAGGGGTAACATGAGAAAGTAGGGTGAAGTTGTCACTGAAAATTTCTGGTGGCAATGTGGACATGTTGACTGTTGCAAACGTAGCTGCTCTCGGATGCCAACATATCCTAGACAATACTCACAGTACATGTGATACTGCATCATGAGGGAGGGACTGGAAAATGCTTTGTTGAACAGGTACTTTGTACTAGGCAGGATGTCCTTCTGGAACACGACATTGAAGAGCTGCAGGATGTCAACCAAGGCTGACACAGTAGGCCGGTGCTTTGCAAGAAATGACAGCAGAAGAACAAGCACTTCCGCTACGGTCGTTGTTGTACATTTGCAAATTTGAGTAGTCAAGTCAAAACCCTTGACGCTGAATGCTGATGGTGCATCAGAAACATGTTCAGTAGGAGAGCCAGGCTGCTCTCCTTCGCTCTGAATGTCCTTCTCTTCGCACTCTGAGCTCCCCGGAGAGCTAACTGAGAAGCTCGAAAGGCTGTCTGCGCTGCACGGAGACTCGGCCTCCTCACACATACTTTCAGTTTGCGGAATTTCACCCGAGAGCAACACCGGTGACATTTCAGCCAAAGAAATCTCACTCTGTCGAGAAGTTGGCCCACTGCAGTCTGTCTCACTTAGGTGGCCAGTGGTCAAACAAGCTTCAATCCCTTGTCCAGAACATGGCGGACCCTATAAAAGAGTGTTTACAGCAACAAATAAAAAAAAGGCAATATACTGTCTCACATCAAATAGCATTGGGCATATCATCAACACCAATGCGAGCAGTATCAGGCACTATATTTTGCAAAAGACCTTCAGAGCGCAACACATGTGCTGGTGCAGCAAACTGTCCTTCGGAAGCCATTTGGCACCATGGTCGCTGACAGGCTGAAGCCACACGGGAAGCTGCGCCCCTCTTCCTCCTCCACCTCCACCTCCACCTCCACCTCCACCCACCCACCCCCTTCACTTCCCCCCCCCCCCCGCCCCCCCGCCCCCCGCCCCCCCCCCCCCCCCCCCCCCCCCCGGCAGCAAAAACTTTCTAGCCTTGATAGCACAAGCATGAATGCGTAACCGAAGCACACTTGTGCTTTGGCGCTTCGGAGGTAACGAGCGTCTACAGGAGGTAGAGCTTCTGCAGCACTCTACCCCACACCAACCAACCGTACATGAGACCCATTTCAGTGCTCAGGAGCAGACATACTCATATCTACAGGGTGAAACAAGGAGACGGCAGGCTCTTTAAATCGACCGGAAAATTCGGTTTCTTAACCTATCGCGCAACGACTTTGTGCAGCGTTGCCCACAGATGGTGCATTTTTTTTTTGTAAAATTTGCAAAGAGCGAACTTACCTGAGGAAAAAGTAAAGAAAGAAAAAGGCTTAGCTCCGACGGAAACTCAGCGACGCCACCGGTCTTCAAACAACACGGCGCCGTTTCGCACGGGACACAAGAGATGGCGCAACGAACGCCGTCAACGAACGAGCACACGGCGCCGAGTGCCAGCGTCAGCAGACAATCTTTTCGACTCAAAAGCAACACTCGTTCCGCAGGCGGCGACAGTCGCAGAAACAAAAACAGACGCGGTAACAACGAGGAACTGCAGTTCCTTGTCTGCTAAATACGCCGGCTCTCGGCGTCGTCTGCTCGTTCGTTGGAGGCAGTTGGCGTCGCGACCGCTTGCGCCATCTCTTGTCTCCCGTGCGCAACGGCGCCGTGTTTGAAGACCGGTGGCTTCGCTGCGTTTCCATAGGAGCTAAGCCTTTTTCTTTCTTTACTTCTTCCTCAGGTAAGTTCGCTCTTTGCAAATTTTACAAAAAAAATGCACCATCTGTGGGCAACGCTGCACAAAGTCGTAGCGCGATAGGTTAAGAAACCGAATTTTCCGGTCGATTTAAAGAGCCTGCCGTCTCCTTGTTTCACCCTGTAGATTAAACCAGCAGTCGAGCGGGAAGGCACGTGAAAATTATGTTTCATGCTCTGAAGAACGTGCTCTTGCAGGGCATCCTCCTTCCCCACAAGATGGACCCCATGAAACAGATGCTGTAAAACTATTGCTGCTCGCGAGCCACAATTTCACTAATTAGAAAAGATTTAGAACTTAGTTTAACCGTACACAAATAATCCAACCTTTAAAGGCCTGGATTTGGACCCCTGGAATAGCCTGCACCAACATAATTTGATCCTCTCTGGTGGTGGTGCATAGCCTTTACAGTACTAATTCTACAACCAAAAAACAAGCGTTACCAGCGGGCGGAAACGAGTCGGCGCAGCTTCCAGTGCATTAACGGCACGCTTTCACCACCAGCAAGAAGAGCAGCTTTGACGTCACGTGCAAGCCATGATGGTCCCAGCCGGATTTAAAAAATATAAAGGCCGCACAATAAAAACGTTTTACAGTATTTGACAAAAATTAAGAAAGCTTGAACATGAGAAAGAACGGCACGCACAGTATGAGTTTAGGTTATAGGGACATTATATGTTCGATCGAGTAGCACCACACGTCAATTTCGCGCTTTCTTAAATTTTTTGTCCGTATTCCAAAGATTTCAATCTAAGGCGCCCAAGACGTCTTCGATTTCCAAGACGTCGTCGTCGTCGTTCTTGACATCGTCAAGGCTTTTGAGGTCTTGGGCCGTGTGGGGTCTTACATGATAGAATTTTCTTTCAGATTTTCGTTGCAAATTTTCCCATACAAGTGCAAGTTTTCCCCTATTTGTGTCCAAAAAGCAAGTTGCAAGTTTTGCCATATTTGTGTTCAAAAAGCGACGAAGCTCGCCCCGGGGCGCACGCGCACATCGAGCGCCGTCGGGCGAGCTTCATCGCCTATTCGTCAGATATTCGCTCACAAAGCCCAGCCCAGAAGCACTGCAGCAAAGCATAGGAGCCGGAGGTTGGAAGCAGTGGCTCGATACAGAGAAAGACGAGAGCGAACGCACACGGTATTTAACAACGAAAGACCATGCATGAAGTAACGCTTGAAATGAACAAACTCACATCTCCACGATTGTGAGACTGCGCAGCTGACTTCTGCTCCAAAGGTCGCGGGGCGCCTTCAGCAAGAATCTGACAACAAAAAGATTTCGTCAATAAAATCTTACGGTTCACCGACTATAAAAGCCTACCTTTTCGGTCTGATGCCACCGAGCACGCGTCGACCGCGGCACGCTCTCTTCGGATAAAGGTGCCAGGTAACGTCGGTATTGCTTCGGCCGCTGCTTACTGGCCATGATGCCGTTTCATATGCAGAAGTTTCGGCAGAATCGGCGTAGCGCTTGTTTGACGAGCAATAATGGCGAAGAATGACGCGGGAAGAGCGGGAAGCGGGATTAGTAGCGGTACAGTGGCTGTAGTAGCGGGATTGGCGGGATGGCTACCCGGGGACCTGGGTACTTCGAAAACGTGAAACGCACGCCATCGCGCCATAAACCGCATTGTAAACAAAACCATCTTTACAGTCTATAGTGCTAATAACAACGTCCTGAACTAAATATAATTCTAAGTTGTAAAATGAAACTTAATTTTTTTTTATTAGAGTTATCCTTCTCTTCTGTATTTGCCATGGGTGTTAGGTGGCCGTCTCGCCATATGGCCAGCCGGAGTCGGCGCGCGGTTTCAGTTGAGCCGGTCGAGCCAGTTGAGCTGCTAGTTTTGGTTGCATCACCTGCTGCGTATGAGCTTTCAGTTGCTGAAAAGACCGCAGGACATCTATTCCTACAGGAAGAAAGGGTAAGATTTTATTGCAGTAAAATATAGTTCAACAGCAGTTTGCGCCGGCGCATGGTTGGATCGGCGAAACGAAACTGCGATTCAGGCAGCAGTTTGCGCCGGCGCATGGTTGGATCGGCGAAACGAAACTGCGTTGCACGCGTTTTTTTTTTTTCTCTCACTTCTTTTTCGTCTTCTTCTTCTTCTTCTTCTACTTCTTTCATATTTATATATAAAGCGAAAAGAGTACGTTTTATCGAAGTGTGGTTTAGAGAAATGCGATGTGTGCACGGCGGGAACCTACACTTGCAAGCAAACCATGCTACGCGCGCTCGCTGTCGCTCGAAGGAATGTTAATCTCAAGTTCGAGCACGCACCTACAAGGGTTCATCGCTGAGTACTCGGCAAGCTAGGCTGATGAATCAGAGAAACATCGGAAGCAGCATGCCGGGGGTTGCCGTCTTCTCGAAACCGAGTTTCGACTTTCGAGGCAGCTCGAAGAAACTGTTTTCGCTAAAACTGCGTTCGTTAGAACGAGCTTCTCTAGACCGCACGCTGTCACGGCTGATTAAGGCGTATAATTACTATAAAAATATTAATCGGGAATTGGTGTAGTCTCGTCTTGCCTTGGTGCTTTGTTTGTGTAATAAATTACCTCGCTGATCAGCCACATTTTCTCCACCACATGCGGATGTGACGGTTGGAATTGTTTGAACATAATGCGATTACTTCACATTAAATTCGATTGTATTCTTTTCTTACAGAGATGAATTTCGCATATGTGCAATATTTTACTGGAACAGAACGACCTAAGACTATCATCAGTACATCTGCAATTAAAAACTTTGAACCGAGAAGTGAGGATGACTACAAGAAGGGTCACCTCTATGATGCTTTGTTGACTCCAGACGGAGGGGAGCCGGGCTGTTTTAAAGCCCAAATACTACTTTTGGCAGGTGATATATATCAATGCAGTTCCTCACAGCAGCACACCAGAGGAGACTTGCCCTATATGTTATTGTGTGTACCACTTTGCAGACTCAAAGTCGTCGATCGAGGAGAGGATCAAAAGGGGCAAGAGGATCCCTCTACCTAAAGTCCTTGACCAGGTTGTTGAGCACAGCAGTTCGGAAGACGACCAAGCAGCTCTTCGGGTCGAAATGGCAAGCATTTTGTTGCTGCTTATCCTTTTAGAACTATCATAGAACCCCTCCGGTGCCTTCACATAATATGTACAAATGAGCTGTGTTGCCACGAAAAATTATTTACACTATGAAATAAAAGACTAAATGTCACTACAAGTGGTAACTGAATAAAACAATGGCCTTAACAGGTAAATACAGATTAAAGTATGAAAATTGATACTTCACAAAAAAAAACTGATTTTAGCTGGTTTCTGGTTGAAATTAAAATTATATTGTTTTTCCATTTAGTCTGTTCGGTTTTTTGGTACTGTAGTTCATTATTTATTCCCCCATATAGTTTTAAAGCACACCTTGGAAGATTACAAATTTTCTGTAATATTCAGAGAAATGAGGTTAAGTATGACTGATACATCTTGTCTAGTGTAAAACAATATATAACAATTTTTGTTCTTTTTCTCTATTAAGAAAAACGAAAAGGTAATAGGTATGTATGTGGATGTTGTCCTTATAATTATTGTGATTGGTTGACATTAGAACCGTTTATTAGACAGTGCTGCAATTGCACTTTTAAATGGAGCTATTATTAAAGCCTTGCCGAATTTGAACAATTTATAAAAGGCTACAAGTTTTTAGATATAAATTTTGCCTTTCATGGCTTGACTGAAAACCCGCAAGCCAGACCAAAACGACTATGTGAGCGCAACATAACGCGCTCCTTCCAGTATGCAGTTTTTTAACCAGGACACAAAAGGCGTAATTTCAGCTCTGAATATCTAAAAGCTTGTTGCCCTTTTGCAGATTGTTTCAATTCGATAGTACCCTAACAATGGTTTGCTTAACTACAATTGCAACATAGCCCCAAACAGTTAATTTACAGATTTTCGTTAATTAGTCAACATACTAGTGATGTTTCTCAAAGGCTTGATAAGCCGAGTGCAGTAATGCAGTGAGAATAGCACCCAGACAATCCGTCACCTGATTTTCTTTCTAAAATTTCATTTAAGAAACTGCATAATTGAGTTTTACACAAAAATTACTAATTTTCTATATAATTTGCTGTGATTGAAAACATAAATTGTATTGGAAGAAATCCTTATTGCAATTATATACTAAATTTTTCTTTGGCAGAGCAAAGAAATGTTGGTGTAAATTACAATTATTATTTTGACAAGAGTGTCCATGAAAATGTGACCGCCAATGAAATCAAAAGATGCTGGAGCTTTCCCTACATGGTGCTTGTAATAGTGCAGGCTCAGCAGAAATTGAATCGTACAAGAGAAGCAACAGCAAAGATGAAGCAAATAATTTCAGAAAAGTTGTCTCAGAAGCGCAAGAACCCACTTTTCCCAGAGGCTCGGAGTGCCAAGCATGCCAGGTACGAAAGCCACAGTGATACAGACAGTGGGGATGATGGTGCTGTTGTTCCCAAAAAGTTGTACGACGATCTCCATCAGAAGTATCTTGCCCTAAAAAAAACTACAAGGGAACTTAAGGAAGACGTTGAAAAGATGCGGACAAGAGAGGCCAAAAACACAGACATTCTGGATGTGATTCTTGAGGGTGTAAACAGCATCAAATCAAAGCTCGAGAGCACTGGAGCAGGTGCGTATCTCTTTCCTTCTGAAGCATGAATTTTACAAAAAAAAAAAAAGCCTAAGACAACCATGGTGATTTAAAATGTTTAACTTAGTTTTTTTTCTTCTTTTTTTTGCGCCGTCAAGGATGCTCAATAAATGCAAACACCAAGCATGATATCGTGAAGAAGGCTAAACTCAGAACTGACGGAAGAACGGTAAGCTGATGTAGCAAATTTTTTATAGCCTGTGGTTGCCGTTTTAGTTTTTTTAATATTTTGACAAAGTACTGGAAAGGACAAAATTATAAAGAAGCCACAAGCTAGATTTATATCTGCTCTTAAAATCTGCAATTAGAAAATGGCCGATCAATGTTTTAAGATTGTGGTCATGAAATAAAGCTGGCTTGAACTGTCGGTTAATTTGAAGTTTGTGTACTTGCTGTCATTTCCAACAGCTTCGTAGGATTACAAATGAAGCCTTTATTGTTTTTATTTATATCCATTGCTCTGCTTCATTTGCAGGTCTGTGTAAATGACAGTGTTACCCTTAGTTTGGACCAATGGGTCACCTGTCAGCGACAAAAAAAAGAGTCCAAGTTTGTGAGGAGTCTGGCTACTGCCATATGGGGACGCAATATTTTGAAAAATCGATCTACGAGTGGCAAGGTGTCTAACCGTTTGATAAATGATGGAGGTGCTGCGAAGCCACCACTGACTCCAACAAAACTTAATGTGCTAGAAGGTGAGTAGCTTGTAGTTTACGGCACTTTCCGTGTTTACTCCGTTTTATCACTAACTGATTACATTCAACAGGGCCGCCATATTTCTCATGACCTGACTACAAGGTGAAGAAGCAACAGATTAATATAACCAACAAATGGAGATTTTGGAGATGTTACTAAAAAAAATACTACACGAAATAATGTGCAGCGCATCGAACCTTTTGAACATTTATTTTTACCTGTTTGGTATATTATATTTCACAGTAGCTAGCACTAGATTTTTTTCGGTAAAAGTTGCATGCATTTAACTAGGCATCTTTTAAATATGCAGGGCATTTTTTCTTCCATAATTTTTACATGGGTGGATAACCATCACCTGTATTGACTAACTAACCAAAACCTGTTAAAAAATGGTTTAATGGGCATGTTGCAATTGGTGGTTGACTGTGGAGCAACTACCAAGGATATGCTGTACAGATAGTGACGAGATGACTAAAACAACTGTCACTTTTCAATGGACCATTATCGGCAAAACTTCCCAGATTCTTTTTGGTGCGCAGTTCTTGAGTTAGGCAACGAAAAAGAAAATTTTAACAATGAACGTTTCAAAGCGACAAATTTTTACGAATTGTCGAAATTGGGTTAGCCTGTAATAATGGCTATTTTGGGGGGCCCCCATGAGGACCGCCACCCCCCCCCCCCCCCGAAATCTTACATTTTGTTGGGACCTCCTCTCCCCCCTCCCCCTCATGCATCAATTTGTCATGGGCGCCCCCCCCCCCCCCCCCCCCCAAAACAAAATCCTGGCTACGTGCCTGATTGCAACATGCCTCATTAAACCACTAAATAAAAAGTTAATTGCCATATATTTGTAATTTGTCGACATATTCTGACAGTTATCCAGCCGTCTATGTCCGTCATGCCCACAAATATAAACTAAAGGATAGACGTATCTCATTTTTTTTATTTATATAAAAGATAAAAAGATATCTGCATACTGCAAGATTAAAATTACCCCACACTTAGGTTGTTTTAAATATTACAAATTTCTCTGTCAAAATTATGCAGAGTTTAATAGTTGCATTTTTTTTTTTCCAGCATGCTATGAGGACTGGCTACGTGAACATGGCGCCAGTGGCGATGTGTTGGCTGAGCGGATGGCAGCAATGACCACACACATAAACAGCGCCGTACGTGACCTGGCCGTGACGTGCGGCATGCGCTAGGTACTGACCAAGAATAACGGACCAAGTGTCTCTGGAACTATGCTTGTCAAGGACGACGCTTCCTATGTTTCCACATGTATTATTTCAGAAAAGTAAAATTTGTGTTTCAACACTGGAGTGTCTCTCACTTCGCCGCAAGGTAGGTTTGCTGTAGCTGTTTTTTAGTGTGCTTGCCGCATTAAAAGCAGCTACAGTAGACCTTTCCCGCGATATTTTCTGCCATTGAAATAATATTAAAAATTCAATGAGCATAACATACAAATCCCTTAAAATTTCACATTACTGCTGCTGGATTTTCACTTCTTCAGCTCATTGATGCTTATTCGTTTCTATCCTGCATTCTCATTCAAAGCGATTGAATCCTCCTTACAAAGCACATAACCGCTCATGGCAGTCTGCCTATTTTGCTCATTCGGGCACATTCATTTTCGCACCGAAATACATATCCATTTTGTCTCATTTTCTATATTCAGCTTGTGGGTTTCTAGGGTAATTTCACATTCAAGTTTCATCGGGTTGCTCATTCATGCACATTGGTTTTGGTGCAAAAATGAATGAGATTTTAGCTCTTTTTTCCAGCAGGGTGTAAAGGGGTGTCCAAACAGGACACTACAAAACCCGCGACTCCGACAAATCGTGAAAATCGAAGCGGGCGCTTCTATTTTTACGGTCTGTCGGAGTCGTGAAAATGTTTGCAGGAGTCGTGAAAATTTTTACGATCACGACTGCTCTCCTCTTTAGATTGACTTCACACGCCACCTGCGTCTGGCTCACCTCGCCAACGCCCTCGCGTACCGCCGTCGCCTCGGCTCGAAGGCCAAGGAGGTCCGGCTTTGGGTGGATTTGGGACATTCGTGCGTCGAAGGGTGCGTTTCGCCCGCCTCGGATCTGCTTTCTTTGTCGAGGTTCACTTTCGTCGTGATGGCGTCCGATGCGGTTCCGTATTGTGAGCGGAGGCCTTGAGCAATTGACCGACAGCCAACAGAGCGTGTGAGTGTCTCTCCGGACCCACGTGATAAGCAGAGCAAGGCCGCCGTGGAGGAAGCGAGAGGGAGATTTGACGGAGGGAAGTTTCCCCCCGGGAATAATTGACGGAGGGAAATTTCCCTCCGACGGCCGGAAGCGGATCGCGGCAGAGCGCGGCACGATTTGCCGGAGTCGCGGGTTTTGTAGTGTCCTGTTTGGACACCCCTTGAATCGTGTTAGCGTCGATATACCACTGCACGGACACGAACCCCAGACAAGCGGTGGTGGAAAGGTCGCTCGTGTTTATGAGAATCAGCTTGAACACTACACATTTACACACAGACAGGACAGGACATGCACAGAGCTGTCTATCAACGATTGGTTAGCCTGTGTTTGTTATTAAAAATCCACGTGCTCCGAACTGTGCCTAGCTCTCTAATTGGTTGTTCATTTTGCCGAAGACGCCGTTGCCATAGCAACAGCACCGGAAGTCATCGTTTCTCCGTAAGAGGTCGTAACTTTCCTCCTCTCACTTAAGAACGCGTTTGTGAATACTGTTCTCGCCTCATCTTACGATATTCGTAACTTTACGAACTTCGTAGCTAAGTTGTCGTAGGTAAGAGGTTTTTTATGAATCTGGCCTCGGTTTCGGGCGCTTCTCCGGTATCGCGGGAGGAAAGGGGTCGCTGTGCCTCCCGCCGCAAATCGCCCATTATGCGATAAAGCTTCATCGTGAGCTAATACAGTAGGCGTTTGTCAAGGTCTGCTGAGTATGATACTTTTTACGTTCGGACTAGGCGCTAAGTGCGGGCTTTGCACTGGGTGCCGTTTGTGTACCGGGTGCGGACTATCTAAGCAAGCACTTTTATTTTTGACGCAAAATATTTCGCTGCGGACTATGCACCGGGTCCGGGCTATAGTCCGGAAAATGCGGTAGTTCCTTCGAACTCTAGGGTTCTTGGACGATGGCCCTTAGCCTATGCCCATCCTCACATGGCCTTGGGTCACTTTACATGGACGGCAGAAGCAGTCAAATGCTCGGAGTAGCCAAGCATGCTTATCGCAAAACAAAACAAAAATTCAGAGACAAAACCGAGAGGCTAGGCTCTGAAATGCTGCAGAAAGGAGAGTTCGGTTTCGGGCGCTTCTCTGGTATCGCCGGAGGAAAGGGGTCGCTGTGCCTCCCGCCGCAAATCGCCCATTATGCGCTTAGCTTGGCTTATCTGGCCCCGAGATGCAGCAACAAAAGGAGTCTCCCCGCCGTCAAGTCAACTGTGGGAGAGGAGGAAATGGGAAGTGTGGCGAGGGGAACTTTTTTCTGGTTGAAAAATATTCTGCAGGTTGGTCTTTGAGCGCCGCGTGGTGGGAAGTTTTGAAACTAGCCCGAATGTCTCGGAATCTTGGCCTTGGCAGTGCCAATTTCGTTGGAGGAATGCCCTCCAAAGAAGTTTCGTCCCCATCGTACGTGTCGATGATATTTCCGGACAAGTATGGCACGCAATCTGTGCTTCATGTAGAAAGATTCGAACGGTAAAACAAAAGTGACAAATATGAATCCAAGGAAAACTACAATGAAACTCAGAATCCCTGGAGAATCGACGATTGAGTATGGAAGTTTATGTGGTGCGCTTTCTTTTTTGATCAGCCTCTTTTTGGATGTGGAAACGCCGACACCCCGAGTTCTTTAGACAACAATTTTTTTTCTCGGCTTTAGAGCCACCTATCACGAAGTTGTTCGAACTGGAAGTACCGTCCACTGGTCTCTTTCTACCTGTAAAGTGTGCAGCTCCCCCGATGAATGGTATTCTCTTGAGAGCCTTTGACGCTCAAAAGCGGTTCTCATATTTAGTTACGCCGCCCAAACTAAATTTCCACCTGGTTTCGCTGTGCCACCTCTTTTTGGTATAATGTGGAGTGTCAAGTAACGGTCATGTCAAAGTACTCGTGTACCGAAAATCAGTATCTCGCACAACAACAGCTGACTGCAAAAGCCTTTGACGGCCAAACCATGTGTTGGCCGACAACTTTGTTTTCTCGGCTTTGGAATCACCTTTCGTAAAGTTGTTTCAATTGTAAGTACAGTTCACTAGTCCCTTCCTACCTGTAAAGTCTCCACCTCCCACGACGAGTGGTATTCTCTTGACAGCCCTTTCATGGTCAAAACCGGCTCCCATTGAGTTACGCCGCCCAAACCAAATTTCCACCTGGTTTCCCTATGCCACCTACTTTTGGTATGACAAGTGCTGTGTCATGTTACTGTCAAGTCCAAGCACCTCTGTGCCTAAATCTGCACTTCGCACAGCCCGGTTATAACACAACATTTTGGGTCCAATATTGGATATCCCGTACAACTTTTTATTCGCTAGAAACATAACTTTCACACCTGCTGTCTTAATGAAACTTGACACACTTTGTGCACAAACTTAGTGAACATCTCACTCGCCTCCAAGTATCATCATTCCAGCAGTCCCGTTTACAGCGACGAGCGAAACAAATTTCCCACTGAGAGCAGTTATGGTGGTGGCCGTCTTGCTTTTCGGAAAATTGCTCCAACCCCTTAAGGGGTGTCCAAACAGGACACTACAAAAGGCACGACTCCGACAAATCGTGAAAATGGAAGCGGACGCGCCCGCTTCGCGCCCGCTTCAATTTTCACGACTTGTCGGAGTCGTGCGTTTTGTAGTGTCCTGTTTGGACACCCCTTTACTCGGCCGCAACTAGAGAAATTACCCCTAATAATTACTCAAAGTAATATATAAAAAGTGGAGAACAGCTAGATGCCCTTCTGTCTGCCCCAGCACTCGATGCAACGTCGCCCTCAACATACCGGCTCAAAACGCGAAAGTTTCGTACGTGCGCGCTACCGCCGCCGCAGCTTCGCATGCGAAAAGGCGCCGCAGGCTGCTGAACGCGCCTCACTGCCGAACGCCAGCTCCTCCGCTAGCAGCGCTACTCGCGTCTCCAGCTCGACGCTCGCCCTCCCGCGGCGGAAACGGGAAGCGCTCTATTGAGGGTCCCCCGATTCTCCTGCTCAGCGGGCACGGTGAAACCGCTCGCGATCATGGCTCGCCATATGTCATTTCCGAATGCAAACAACGCTCTTCACTGTCCCAACGTAGTGCTGCAGCCGGTATGGGATTGTTCCTTATTAGAGAGTTTTAGTCTTGCATATAGAAGCAAACGCAAATGGTGTGTGTTTGCGTGAGAGTTGCGTGCCCCGCGTTGTGCGTGCGCCTCATCGCCATGCGCCATCCAAGACCGCAATTTCGGGCGCCCGCGCACGCGCAGATGGAATACGCGAAGCTAACGCAAACACACGCCGCTTGCGTTCGCTAGTGTACACAATACTAAAACTCCCTACTGTTTCATCAGCTTCCAACGCAACCGAAACGTGCTGCTGTGAGCAGACGTGCAAGCAGGTAGGCATTCCTTCCAACTGGAAAGGCTGAGATTGGCAAAACGACGGAGCGTAAAAATGAAAGTAACTAAATGTTATAAAAAGATTAATCATTAAAAAAAAAAACTTTATTATTTTTATTTTTGGACATTCGGTCTGGAGGGATATTGGCGGCGATTTTCGACGTTTTGCCGAATGTCAAAAGTCGCGACTTTGATAGCAAAATATACTTTACCCACAATTATTGTATTTTTACATGGATTTCTCACATTAGCTAGAATGCTTTAATTGATTTTAGACTATATTTATTTTATTACTTGGTAATTAAAAATGCTGCAATTGGCACAAGTGATGATAATTACCACTTTTAATTGTCATATTTGTTTGCACGTTTGAAATTAGATCTTAAGCAACAAATTATATTAGAGCTTGAAAAATTGCGTATTAAAATATCTCAATTTTAATATTATTATTATTGATACCAATCGCGGCAATGCACGCCCCCAATTAACGCCAAGATCACGAAATTATGTAACTTAACCATAATAGTCTTTCCAGAAAGGTATAATTTTCTTTTCTTTTTAGCATATAAAACTCTGGCATCGTTATCAAGATAGACAAACAGTTAAACGCTGGATGGAATATAAAGATTTATGCGTCACGCGTTGCTATAAAAGACACACACACACACTTCAGCTGTCTGACTCGGATTCCGACTCGGATTCCGTCACGCGTTGCTATGCGGAG